CCCTGTCTGTCAGGGCCAGTTTGGCCGGAGAGGGGTACAACATCCCAGCAGAAAAACCGAGATACTCAATAAAAAATTCTCCCCACCCGCGAATCGAACTCAGGTCACCTGCCTGCGACTACAAAACGCCTAACCGCAACACCACAGACGCCAGTGTGTGTCACTTCGCTACCCTTGAAGTACAAAGTTATATTTGTTCAGTGCCTAGTTTTGGGAAAAATAACGTTAAAAAAGTTGAGTTTCACACACAACGTGTCAAGCTTTTATGAATGCAATTCTTTGATTATCTTGATAACGATTCCGAATAATCTTAACAATTTTGATAGAGCCAATAGAACATTAATTGGTTTCTGACCTCATGGTCTTAGTAACTCAAAACAAACAGGCCAACATTGTCAGATAGAGCTTTGTAATTTTAAGGTAGCGACTTGTTCCATGAATACAACACGCTGATATGGCACGACTGTGAGATGAATAAAGATTGCCGTTGTCAAACTCAGTGGCTAGGAAGAGTTAAACAACACCTGCATGTTCTCAGCTGTTTCGTGACCCGTGTGGTTCATAACGTGTTCACCGCTGAACAGAACATTGCAGGCTGCATCAATTCATGGTTATGTTCAGAGCTAGGTAGATTCTGTTTGGGCTGTGGAGAGGAGTGTTTGTTAGAAGGGGGGTGGGGCGGGGTGTTGTTTACGTATGTTCTTCTCTGTTTCTAAATAAATGAAGGCTGGCACGATGTCATGACCGACGTCTGTGTGTAACGGTTATACACTTAGATGTCGCACACAGGAGACCCGAGTTCGATTCCCGAGTGGGGAGAAACTATATATCGAGTATCTCGATCTTTCTGTTGGGATGTTGTCTCTCTCTCTCTCTCTCTCTCTCTCTCTCTCTCTCTCTCTCTCTCTCTCTCTCTCTCTCTCTGCCTAGGTTAGCTCTGACAGGCAGTGCCGTTGGGGGCGTAAAAGACACCTACATTAGAAAGAAAAAAAGCGATTTCATGTTCACTTTCTGATAGCATATTTCTCGGTTTAAAAGTAAACTGTTGCCCTGTTTTCAGACCTACTACGTAATGTAGGGTCTCCACCCTGAGTGGGGCTACATTTAGGTCTCCGTGACGTTATGCGCAGAAGTTTTCAACCTTTTTAGAAGAATGGAGGTTGGGGGGGGGGCGAAATTTGCGTTTACCTTTTGTGGTTTTTAAGTAACAATCAGGGTTCAGCAGGCAGGGTCGGTGCCCGCCTCCTAAATTATTTAAAGTGTGTCGTTTGGAGCGTAAAAAAGGGGGGGGGGGCTTAGTTAGCAGAAAAGGAGTTAAGGGTTACAGGAACTGATAATTTTACCCACTCGATATTTAGAAACACATTTGCCCCTAGGCATGTTATGTAACTGTAAATTAGCAAACGCAGCTTTATGTTTTAAGAACTGCCTATGACACACGCTAAAACATTTTGGGTTAAATAAAAATAACAAGTTAGCCCTCTTTTCTAAACTTATTTGACCTAGTACTCACACCCGGGACCTTCACCCTCTTTGGGCCATATTTTGGGTGTCCATAATGTCAGTCGTGAAAGAAGCTGACTTATTTTAGAAATGCAGGGTGTGGGGGGTAGCAAAATTTACTTTTACTACATTTTCAATAGGGTGTGACCATCGAAATGCTCTGGTTAAGGGGCCACGAAGACTGCATAGTGTGAGCATCATCATCCGGTGCCTTGCCGACTGGCGTGGGCGATCATGGACCTCCACTTCACTCTGTCTTGCTTTACAGCAATGGTGTCTCTTGTTCTTGCTGCTCCCAGCCCTTGTCCAGTATCTTTTCCCTTTGTCTGCCTCCGCCTCTCTTTCCATCAAACTTGCCTGTTGTTACAATATTCTCCAATGCTTCTTTCCGCATTGTGTGTCCGAGGAAATTTGCCTGCCATTTTCGTAAATTCGTCATAAGCTGTCTTCTGCTATTTGCTTCAACCAAGACTTCTTCATTTGTTTTTCTAGTTGTCCATGGGATACGTAGCATGCGTCTTATGAACCACAACTCTGTCGCCACAATTGTTCTTTCCAGCTGTTTATTGATTATCCATGCTTCGCACCTGTATAATAGGATTGGCTCGATGTAATTTTTCAGTACTCTTTATCTCGTTTCCAGTGACAGATTGATGTTTGTGAATACCTGTTTCATTTTGTGGAAGGTTGCTTTTGCTTGGCAAATGCGGCTTTTAATTTCGGTGTGACATCTCCCATCTGATGATAATGGTCCCCAAATATTTAAAATGTTGTACTTGCTTGAGGGTGGTATCACTGATTTTTATATTGCATGTTGGGGTTGGAGTTGTTCTGCTTACCACCATTGTTCCGGTTTTCTTTTAGGTAAGGACTGTTAAATTTTGGACATAATTATCTGTTGCTGGGGGGGGGGGGTCATCCCAAATATTAAAAAGGGTTGCAAATAAAGCGTCTTAAGTGGGAGCAAGGTCGCGTTTCTTCGGCTGCTGTTTCACGGGTTCCACATTTCTGTTGGATTCATGTCGGAGTTATAATCTACTGATGACCACTCCGTCGTTGGTATGATTTGACCTAGAATTGTCTGAAAGCGTTGACCCTGTGAGAAGGTGCTTTATCGTGTATAAAGAAGTCTACTTTAAAAAACACCATGATGAAAATAAGGAAACAAAGTGACATTCCAGCACTTTTGGGATGTTGACATCTGAACGAAGCCACCCATTGATTCTCACCCAAGTAGGGTTATATTCATTCCTGCCAGTCCGCCCTAAACTATGGCAGTCTTGTGGTCCCTGTTTCTCAGTGACAGATCATCAGCATCATTGTCTTTCTCACCCTGGATCAGGATAATAGTAATAGGCCACGAACAAATAAATACTTTCCATCTTTCCCTATCCTGGGCTAGTCGCTTGTGACACTCCATGTCTTCCCACTTTTCTCAGTGACAGATGATTGTGTCCAAAATCTAACAGTCACTGCTCAAAAAGGGTTGGTGCTCTACACGAAACCAAAGACTCGTAAATAAAATTATACTAATGGGCACATTTAACGTTTATTCCAAATTTTACGTGGTATTTGTGACTTTTTGATTTTCAATCAGTCTGAAAATATCGTAATAAAACATTGTTCATTGCAGAGACAACAATATTCTCCATTCTTCTGACATATAATTCATGTCCATTCCACCAATGTAAGTACTTTCCAATACAAGCGCGAGCACACTTTTATGTTCTTTGATTTTACACAATTTTTTTCAAACACGATTTTCAAAGGTTAATTTTGAGCGGCCATATCTCGGAGACTCTTATTGTAGACGAAAATTACCGTGTTAGAAGATTATGCAGAATTTATTTAGCTTTGAATTGGTAAGCTGCATTACTTTACAATTTGTAGTACAAGGTTTTAACATGATTATTGGGTGATACTTGTTCACGTTTTTTGGACGTCGCTGTATATAGTTTTCTGGTTGCACGCACGTATTTGTTTTGGGAAATTTCCAATTATCATTGTAGTCAAAAGGGATTTTACTTCTTTGAACTTTGAACCTAACAAAGTAAAATAAAAACTAAAATGAAATAAAACGTTTTGGTGATACAGTAAATATCTTTATTTTCAACCTCAGATCGACACACAGTAAAAATATACATGTATTAAAACATTGTTGACTCGAACACTAAAGCTGGCACCAGGCAGAATGCCGGCTACGTAACACCTCAGCTCAGCTCGCGCTGCTACATAAGAACGTGCCAGTCAGACCAGATGTCACTCAGATAGTGTGGTCAGTGCGATAGCTTTTGTTTGTGTGGTCAGTGAGATAGCTTTTGTTTGTGTGGTTTAGATAGCTTTTGCTCATTTTGTCATTGGGATGGCTTTTGTTTGTGTGGTCAGTGAAATAGATTTTGTTTGTGTGGTCAGTTAGACAGAGTTTGTTTGTGTGGTCAGTGAGACAGCCAGTGGGATAGCTTTTGTTTGTGTGGTCAGTGAGACAGATTTTGTTTGTGTGGTCAGTGAGATAGATTTTGTTTGTGTGGTCAGTCAGTCAGTCAGTGAAATATGTTTTGTACGCATGGTCAATTAGATAGCTTTTGCTCGTGTGATCAGTTAGATAGCTTTTGTTTGCGTGGTCAGTTAGCCAGATAGCTTTTGTCTGAATGATGAGTTAGTCAGTCAGTCAAATAGCTTCTGTTCATGTTTTCAGTGAGTCAGATAATATCTTCTGTTCATGTGTTTTGTCAGTCAATTAGTCAGAGAGTTTCTGTCCGTGTGTTCAATCAGTCAGTCATTTAGCTTCGGTCCGTGTGGTCAGATTTGGGCCTTTGGTTCTATCTTCAACAGTATGCATCCTGTTGTATTGCTTGACTGCACAGCTTTAGGGACCACACGTCACAGATCTTGGAATCAGACACTGTAAACGGGAGTTTTGCAATTTGGTTGTTTGAGTAATTCTATAAATCTCTCTCCACCTATCTGACTCTGTCCGATCTAAGATGGCCGTTAAATTCGGAGGTCCAGCCTCTAATAAATAAATCGACAACGTTAAAAGAGGCATTTAACCTACATTTTCGCACATTGTGAACGAAGAAGGGCGTGTACTTGCAACAAAGCAGGTTATGTCCAAAAAGACACAGAAAAGGTCTTGACCTGTGAGACAGTGACAGTTTCTCTCACCCCAAGAGTAGGCCCTAGGCTGTTTTCATCTGCTTGCTTACCATGAAGTGATGTGATGTCTTTGAAGATAGGAAAGGAAACTTCTAGGACAATAATGAAGTGATAAAATGTCATTATAAGACAGTAACGAAAATTTGTAGGACAGTATTGCAGAGATGAGATGTCTTTGAAGATAGTACATCTATAGGAAAGTTGCAGGATAATGAAGTGATGAAATTCCTTTATAAGATTGTAAAGGAAATATGTTGTACAGTTGTTTTGTTTTTGTGTTTGTTTTTTTGTTGTTTTAATCGTCGTGTTACGATACTGCTTTATATCATTTTACATTACAGAATTAAACAGTTTGCAGTGCCACAATGACGTCATCTCTGTTTCTCCTCCTTGCCCTGGTGCTCCCGGCCTTGACCCTGGCCATTGACCTCAAACCCTACAACGAGACGGCCCACGGAATGTTCATATCTACCGACTCCAACATGGACGGCGTTCTGTCCAGGGATGAGCTGGATGCTACTTTCAAGGTCCTGGACGTATTCTAAGTGATTGCGTGCGTATGTATGTATGTATGTGTGTGTGTGTGAGTGTGTGTGTGTGTGTGTGTGTGTGTGTGTGTGTATGTGTGTGTGTGTGTGTGCGTGCGTGCGTGGGTGCGTGTGTGTGTGTGTAAAAAGATGTATATGTATATATATGTATATATATGATTCTCCCCTTGCATTTTTTGAAATATTATAATGACACTGTATAAGACAGGAATTAGACTAAGACGCCCACTTTTTTCCCTCTACAATGGGTGGCCGTATTAAATAATTTCGACTGTACATTCTTTATCTTTTTACTCCATGTTCTCTTATCGTTATTCTCATCTTCATCCTGCAGGGTTACGACACAAACGGCGACGGTCGCGTGTCTCGTCATGAGTACACCAGCTTTGTGGACCTGCACTCACCCACACTGCACAGTCTCAGCCACGCCCTCTACGACATCTATGACGTAGACGGTGACCACCACCTGGACAAACATGACTACGACAACTTCTACGCGCTCATTGACGGGGATGGGGACGGCACGGTGGAGGAGATTGAGTTTATCAAGTGAGTGAATGGACGAATGAGTGAATGAATGAGTGAGTGAGTGAGTGAGTGAGTGAGAGGGAGGGGAGTGAGTGAGTGAGTGAGTGAGTGAGTGAGTGAGTGAGTGAGTGAGTGAGTGAGTAAGTGAGTGAGTGAGTCAGTGAGAGAGTGAGTCGGTGAGTGACTACCATCGGGACAAACATGACTACGACAACTTCTACGCGTTTGTTGATGGGGATGGGGACGGCACGGTGGAGGAGATTGAGTTTATCAGGTGAGAGAGTGAGTGAGTGAGTGAGTGAGAAAAGAAAAATCCACCTGTCAATTGCTCCTGCTGTCCATTACTTTAATATACACTCTCTCTGTTCGTGGTGGCGTCGGTAGCCTAGTGGTTAGGCTACCGGACTCGTAATCGTCAGATTGCGGGTTCGGGGGTTCGAGCCTCAGCTCGGTCCGACGTTGTGTCCTTGGGAAAGGCACTTTACACGAACTTCCCACTTGGCTCGGTCCTGTTGGAGACGGACGTTAAACTAGGAGGTCCCGCCCCTTAAATAACCTAAGAGTGTTAATAGGGGCGTGGAACCCATTTTTTATCTGTTCGTTTCTCCCTCTATTAATTTCTCCACCGTCCACTTCTTCCTCTGCCTCATTTCTCTTCCCGGTTCCCGTTCATCTCCCCCTCTGTTCATGTCTCTATTGCGCATTTCTTTTTCTGTCCATTTTCCTTCTGTTCATTTCTCCTTCTGTTTGTTCATTTCCATTTCTACCCCTGTTTACACCCCCCCCCTTTGTTTATTTCTTCACCATTCATTTCTTTGCATGTCTATTCTTCCCCCTGTTAATACAATGTATTAATATCTGCCTCTGTTTCATTTCTCCCTCTGTTCCTCTCTTCCTATGCCTCATTTCTCCCTCTGTTCATTTCTCCACCGTCCGTATTTTCTTTTTGTCTATTCTCCCCCTGTTTATTTCCCCTCTCTTCATGTCTCGCTCAATTCATTTCAGTCCCTGTTCATTCTCTCTGTTCACCTCTCCCTATGTCAATGTTTTCCTCAGATACTGGTCAGTTCTGTTTGTGAACTTGGAACATCTGCACGGCCATAACGGGCGATAATCACCAGTTCTGACTTGGGCTGTGTCAAAGTTCATCTCAGAGTTTATTAAAATCGAATTCTCAACAACGACTTATGTCTGGAGTGATATGTGAAAATGTGAATGTGGAAGTGTTCTTGTAAATATGCCATTTCAAAACACATTTTGTTACTTGCTTGGAAGCCTCGAAGACGCCGTGACCCTCAAAGGGAGTCTGTTTATGCTGGAGGTAATCAAGAGCTCACTTTTAGAAGAAAAAAAATAATTAAAGAAGATTTTCTTGGCTCGCCAGGAACTATTTAAAGGTTGTTGTGGAATATTAAAAAATTTAATCTCATCATTTTTCAAACTTTTGTCCCTAGAATCTAGAGAAGTTTTTAAAATTTCCAAAATTCTTGTGAATGCCTTGTAAATTTGTTTTACGAAATGATTGAAGCTTCAATGTGGGTGGTTGGCATGCGTTTTAGTGTGGTCAGCTCCTTTTTTGTTTACTCTAATCTTCGGTACTTAGCCTGTATGATCTCATTGCGTTGCAAGTGCCGTAAAACTAAAAACGCGTATTAAAACAAAATACGAAGCTCCAACGCTTCAATGAACGAAAAAAGACAATATTTCGAAGTGACGTCAATGAGCTGTGTGCGTGAAATAATTTTAAAATTCAGCAGTTCTCTCTTTCCCTCTTTCGCTGTCGCTCTTTCTGTCTCTCTCTCTCTCTCTCTCTCTCTCTCTATATATATATATATATATATATATATATATATATATATATATATATATATATATATCTTTCTCTTTAGTTTTTAGTACGGTAGAGTTTTACGTCGCTCGCAACAGCATAACGTCATATGAGCGCCAAGGGGCGGATGTCAACTGAGAAGTCCATACAGTGAATCAGGTTTACTCTGCTCACCTCTCTAGCTTCAACTGCACAAAGTCTGCTTCGACTATCAAGGCACCCCGGAAATAGCGGGTCACAAGAGTGAGACAAACATGGCTGTTTTAGACTACTTTTTGTTTAGTAGAGGGTTCAACGGTGCTGGCAACTGCATAAGGTCATATGAGCGCCAAGGGGTGGGTGTCAACAGAGAAGTCCTTGCAGGAAATCAGACTAACTCTACTCACCTCTCTCGCTTCAACAGCACAAGGTCAGCTTCGACTATCAAGGCACCCCGGAAATAGCGGGTCACAAGAGTGTGACAAACATACAAAAGAAGTAGAGGAAAATGACAATAGTAACGATTAGGAAAGAAAAAGCAGCAGTTCCCTGTTGCAGATCAGGCACAGTTATGAGCGTGACATGAGTCAGCCCATTTACAATTCTACAGTGCTTGAACGAGAAATGTCCCCCCTTTGGGAATGGCCAAAAGACAAAACAGTCAGTAGCACCGCCCGGGGGGTGGGGGGGGGGGCTTTTAGACTACGTACAAAAGAAGTAGAGGAAAAATGACAATAGCAAGGATTAGGAAAGAAAAAACATCAGTTCCCCGTTGCAGTTCAGGCACAGTTAGGATGAGCATGACATTGATGAGTCAGCCCATTTACAATTCTACAGCGCATAAGAACATGTTAATGTCCCCTCTTTAGGAATGGCCTAAAGCCTAAAGACACTTCAGTTGTAACACCGTCGGGGGGGGGGGGGGGTCTCTCTCTCTCTCTCTCTCTCTCTCTCTCTCTCTCTCTCTCTCTCTCTCTCTCTCTCTCTCTCTCTCTCTCTCTCTCTCTCTCTCTCTCTCTCTCTCTTTTCCCTCTCTCTAAAGTAGCGGGTTTGGAACAGACAATCACGGCTCTTCACGCACTCCAATAACTATAACTGTAGTGGAGCCCTCCAACTACGCACCAGAACACAACATACTAAAGTAGGGAAATACAGAAACAGAAAGGATCATAGTTTGTGATATAACTTTATTGATAAGATTTGCATTTGAGAGGAGGGTAAACTCATTCATATGGTCAGGACGGACAAAAAATCACATCATGCACAATGGGTTACCTCACCAAAAACATACACGGATTTCAATATAACACTCTCTAAGGACTTATTTCTTGGTACAGTTTTGAAACGATGAAACAGAAACAAAAACACTCTCTGAGTACTAATTTTAAGGTACAGTTTTGAAACAATGACACAAAATACGGGTAACACTCTGTGGGTACTTATCTTTCAGTACAATTTGGAAAAAATGGCACATACATAACACGCTCGGGGTAAATTTCTACTAATCTTTCGGTACAGTTTTGAAACGATAACAAGACATATCACACGTACATGAACAACACGGTCATTTTCACAGCGCACGTAATAACATTGTCTTTTAGTCAGATTGGAATTAAACATACACAAAAACAGCCATTTAGTGTCAAAGAAACAATTAGACAGGCAGAAACAAGAGAGGGAGAGTAAAGACGTTGGACCTAACACTAACCACCCACTTATTTTATCTGCTGCACTAGAAACGCTGTAGCATTATTGTGATATTTGCAGAACGTATGAATGGAAAGGGTGTTTTTTTCACACAGAATGTCGACAGTATTTTTTATATCTCGGTTTTTATTCTAATCTCATTTCACCAAGGAAAAAGGAACAGCACAAAGAAGCAGTAATATACATGCAAACAAATTTGAGCATTACACAATATGTATATAATACATATTATACAGAGAGAGAGAAAGAGAGAGAGAGAGAGAGAGAGAGAGAGAGAGAGAGAGAGAGAGAGAGAGAGAGAGAGAGAGAGAGAGAGAGAGAGAGAGAGAGAGAGAGAGAGAGAGAGAGAGAGAGAGAGAGAGATGTAAGTACATTAACAAGAAAAAATCAACCTGTTATCTCGCTTCGGTCTCTACTGCCTAAAAGACACCCCCCCCTACCCCACCCCTTACCCTACCAATGAAGTAGATATTTTAAAATGTAAAAAGAGAAGGGGTTTGAATTACTCTTTTCATAACATGTATTATCGCACATGTCTGCAGAGTAGTTATAACTCTTGTAAGTATTGCGGGGCTCAGAAGTGAACAGTCGAGAAAGAGTTACGACTCGTTGCGTTGTATTTCAAGTCTTACGCCCCCATGAAACAATCAGATCTTTCAGGAGGCCAGCTGCGTTGACGGTGCCTGTCAACACCAACCCCGACGGAGTGGGATAGATCATTTCAATAGTGACAGACAAAAGGAAACAATTGAAAAATTAAACAGAATTCTTAGAAGTCAGCACGTTAACTGGCTAGATACTGCATTAAAGTTTTGTCTGGTTTTCCCCATTCACCAGAATATTTAAATGCTTGCCTGTGCTGCAACTGCAACTTCATATATCAAATCTTCATTCTTTTTTAAAATTGGGTAGGTATAATACACGCTCACAGCTTGAAAGCTATCTTTGTTATGCTGAAAATGCTAACGCTGACGCATTATTGAACTTGCTGTGGCAAAGCTAGGAACAGGCTTACGACTTGTAAGAGTTAACCACACAAGAATCAGACATACCTCTTTCCTGTGTAAGGCACAGAGCCAAGCTATTACCCAACAGATACCGGTAAAGCTTTAAAAAGCAAATTACAATGAAAGAAAAAAAAATAAAAAGCAGTAAGTAAAATTAGCAAACACTTAAACACAGCTTACCCATCTTCTGAATAAAAGCAGAAAATATTATTAAAAGCATTGTCTTCTGACTTTGATACAGTGATGCGCATGTATCGCAAGAAAATGTAATCATGGACAACAAAGTACCCGTTAGTCAATTCAGTGAAGGAAAAATATATGTAAAAAAAAAAAAAGTTTATGCGAGACAGAAGAAAAAAATTGAGACAACCGAAAATAGAGGAAGAGAGTAAGTAGTTTACTGACTTTGGGCTCATAAACATTTTGAAATAGGTGAATAGGTGGGTACAGAAAGAAAATGCAGATGCTCATAAGTAAGGGGAGAGAGAGAGAAGGCGGGGGAGAGAGAAAAAGAGAGACAGAGAGAAAGAGAGAGAGAGAGAGAGAGAGAGAGAAAGAGAGAGAGAGAGAGTGAGAGAGAGAGACTCAAGGATGATATGATGACATATATTTATAGGTTTTATGTTACACAAGCTGGTGAAGGCACACTGTCAATTTTTTTTTCCAAAGAGGACCAATAAAATATATCATCTTATCTAATCTTACTTCACAATAAAGCTCTGAGTTCAAATCAGCCACTAAAAGATTGATAAGTAAGCACACAATTTATAATTTTAACAGACCAAAAAACAACAACCCTGTCTTATAGATTGCACAATGATTGAGGGAACACAAGGTCAAGACTGAAAAAAGGCAATATCATTGCAAAAATACAACAACAGACATGTGTACATATATCTCTGCATACGGTACCTGCACCTGAGAACGTCTGAAGGGTTGTGTGCGACAAAACAAGCCATCTCAATTAATATGTGAGATCTGCTGACAAAATGAGTTACTTCTCGGGTCTCATTCCTTAGGAAATAGATATGTCATACTTATAGATGGAAGTTTGTACAGTTTGCATGTATAAGAACAAAAGGCTAAAAGACCAAGTTGAACTTGAAAAAAATGGCATCAATTGAAAATGTACACATTTGACCCCAGTGTCGATTTTCAACCAATACCTCCATTCATGTCATGGATTGTGTAAAATAATTCATTTTGTCAGCACACTTCTCATATAACGACTTCCACTTTTTCCTCCTTATCCACCAGTGAGGCGTTTAATCTTTACTGCTTAAAATTATTAGGGGTAAAAAAATGTGTAGTACCGCAAAGAAATTGTGAATAAAATACTGCCAAACCTGCTCTAAAAGCCACCTGTCCAAGTCAAATCTCCTCCACTTTACCTCTTACGTTTTTGTATTTAGAATTATAATGACACTGTCTTAGACATCCCCCTGTCTAAGACAACCATTTTTCTCTTCGACAATGCAGGGCTTTCTTGGACAATTTCAACGGTAATAACAGTCGAACTTGTTCTGATGACCACCTGTATAAGACGATCACCTGTACAAAAAGCCACTTCCTTGTATTTTTTTTACATTATGATAACACTGTAACTGTAAAACAGCCACTTTTCTCCTCAAAAATAGGTGGCCATCTCAGACAATTTCGACCA